AAAATAAGTCTCTAAGCTCTATTTTTTGGTTTTCCATTATTGTTTCATACGCTCTTCTTCGGCACATGGTCTTGTTTTGCAGATTGAAGCAGTATAATTTTGATATAAAAGATATAATTCTTTGAGGTGACATTGTCGGTAAATTTTCAAAAATTTTTTTATTTTTGGTTTAAATTTGACCAACTGCCGAAAGATTAGCATATGTACTTTATTTACACCAAAGGATTTGTAATTCTATTAAAGCAATAAAAAACGCCACCCTTTTTAGAAAATTGAAGTTTCGGTCGGTAACAATATGACTTCAGCATCCTCTTAACGATTCTTAAAGCTTATTAAAAAAATTTTTAATTAAATTTATTCTTGCATTTTTTTGGGGGCGGACGATTGGAAATTCCAAAAATTTTTACTGCAAATTTAAATTCAGCATCTTGAAAAAGAAAATATATGGAATCTTTACGTATCATAAAATAAATTGCTTTTTTATAGACATTATTTTGGGAAATCTCAAACATTTTTGTTTCTTAATAGTTAAAAGGATGAAAAAAACCGGTCTATCGTTCATTTACTCTTAAATACGAAAACGTAAATCGCAAACCGCAGAGCAACGGAAATCATTCATACGTCAGCAGTTCCAGCAACTTTTTCAGATCAGACAGGACAGGTTTCTCACACATTGACTCGATTGACGAGTTATTGCACGCATCTCGAGTCGGCGACATTTACTGCAATGATCATGGTCATGGTGTAGAGCATATCGCGCGGTATCCTGTATGCATGCTATCTTTGCAATCAACCGGTCGCCTTCTCGAGGTCGAGGAAAGAAAATATCGCAATGGTCATACGAGAAACCTTCCTCGTGTCTCTAATGCCGACATTGCTGATTGACTAACGTGCGGCAGTGCGTTTCCTCGAGCATAAAGGTAAAAGCACGCGCCCGAGCGTGAGAAAAAGGAGGAAGGGGAGTGGAACAGGAAGGACGTTCGACTTCTGATGAGAATGGCTAATAAATTCCGTTCTTCCATGCCAAATGAAAGCACGTATTTACGTATCGCACTTGCATAGGAAAATGAAAAATTTTTCGCCACGTTTTATGGAATGTAAATTTTTCTCTTAATTATGCACAGTCAAAATCCCTTCCATTTTATCGTTCGATCGATTATATTGCTTGAAAAGTGCTCAAACGGGCGATATTTGTCTTTTTTCAGACGAACAAACAGAATACAGTCAGCGAACACACACTGCAAGATCCGATCAGAAAGGCCGTGTCCACCGAGCAAATACAGAACGCCTTCCGGTGCGTGCAATAATATCAGACATCCTGCATGGGGTGCCAGAGGTTTCCCGTTCCTCAAATTACTGCCATCGGCGTACTCGGATGGTAAGAATGTGCATATTATTAATCTTACAGTCGACGCGTTGATTTGTTTAAAGTAAATATTAAATTATTTCAAACAAACATTATTTAAACATTATTTAAAATCACAATGGTATTGTATTATTTTTCAATATATATATACAATAGAATTGTTGTGATAAAGTATCGTAATAATGTTGTTGGCTGCAATCGCGCGGTTCTCTAGAATATCGAGAGTAGAAAGTGAAAATTGGAACGTGCGTGCTTCTAGTTGAACGGTGCACGGGCAAGCCTAGATTCATTTCGACGTGCTCGCTAGCACGTGCGGAGATCTTCGGTCCTTAAAAAGGACGGATTAGCATGCAGGAAAGTGCGCGCGCGTGCTCGGGAGACCCCGTTGCAATGGAGCCCCGCGAGTGAATCCTCTCTCGCCTGTGCGATGCGCCATATATCAATTGCGACATTTCAATGCACGTATGTGTGTGAAAACTATAAAATGAAAGATCTTAACGACAATTTGATCGTTTCATACCGACCGTTACGTGCTCGTTCCACGTAACACCGTCACACAGCATTTGCACACTTGCATTTATCCGGAAAGAAAAATTTCTTTCTCCTAGCTCTCTTCGCGTACTTTTTCGCTATAAATGAACCATATAATTTATAATAAGTTATTTATAATAATAAATTAATAATATTGTACAGAAGCAAAGCTCACATTTCTCGTTTTTTCCAAATTTGTGGTCAACTTAAAAAAAATTGTATTTCTGCAAATTATGGATAAATTACCCGAATCTAGAAATATTTTACAAATATTAGATATTCATTTTAAACGCCCAAATTGATTAATATAATGTAAGTTTCACTGTATTATAATGTTATAACTATAACAGCAGTTTTTCAAATGCTTCTTGTTTTCAAGTCGTTTATATTGACTTTTAACGACTTTCTTTCAAATATAGATATTTTTTAATATCATTTTTAGAATTTATAGCTTTATTTAAAATAATAAAAAGACAAAATTAATATTTTTGCATAAATTAAATGAGAGTGAAATTTATATTTTATTATATTTTAACCATTCTAAGATTTACTTTTGACGAGCACGCGGGCACGTGTTAAAAGAGAGGGAAAGGCAAGTAACTGGTAGCCCATCTCCGGGAAAAGAATCCGAACAAAAATATGAAAGTGAGAAGGCCGAAGAAAGCAACCATGTTCTTATGGGCAGTGGTTGCCAGATAGTACCTTTCGACATCGCTGACCTCAAAATATTTCAATGATCACTCGATCACTTGTGTGTGTGTGTGTGTGTGTGTGTGTGTGTGTGTGTGTGTGTGTGTGTGTGTGTGTGTGTGTGTGTGTGTGTGTGTGTGTGTGTGTGTGTGTGTGTGTGTGTGTGTGTGTGTGTGTGTGTGTGTGTGTGTGTGTGAACACCTTTTCATATAATTTTTCAAATATTTTTTAAACAAAATAATTGTTCAAAAAGATGGCTGAATAAAATAAAAATAATTATCTTAAAATTTTATAACTTTAAATATATAATATAGAAATATGTAAATAAGCTTTATTTATAATATATAAATGATATACCTCTCTTAATTTAAACGCTGAGTGACAAATGCATGATTAATCATATATTTATGTATTATGCATTAATTATTTATGTTTGTAATAAATTATTCTATATATAATAAACTTTTGTATAATATACAGCCAATGAGAAATATGAAAAATTGATAGCAAATCCGTGACTGCACGGAGAAAATTTTATATCAAAAATTACTATGTACAGCTGTAGCCGCGGATCACGAAGCCGCGAACCGAAAATTCTTGCTATGTTTTACTTGTGAAAATTTTTGTAATTCGTTTATGGTTCGCGGCTACTGCCGTACATAGTAATTTTTTATATAAAATTTTCTCCGCGTGTTAACGTATATTGTGAATGGAAAGACTGTATTAGTTTTGTATAGGAAGAAAATTGCAATATGCGCATGTAACACTTACTGCGTGATCATTAAAGAGCAATGCCTGCATGTAACCATGACACAGAATTTTGACATACTTGGGCACTTTTCGAGACCCCACGAAGAGCCATCTCCTCGTCACGCCGGTAGCGTTCGCGTGAGTCATCGCGCGCGTCCATGTATAAGTGTGTGTGAAGCTGGCGTATCATTTCGCGGAAACTCACAAATAATTAAGAGTTCTGACTTTATTTTCAATAGTTCTAGAGTTCCTGATAGTTTAAACAAATAGTTCTGGCCATTAAACCAACGAAAATGCCTCAGGACAAACTGAGACGCCAACTTCACGCAGCGTCTCACTTTGTCCTACGACATTTTCCTTATCAATAATTGTTGGAAATTAAAAGATTTATAGTTCTACAAGAGTTCTAAGAAGAGTTCTGCCTTTTAAAAGCAAAAAAATATCAATAAAGATAAAATAAGAACAAGCGAATCCTTATATCTATAGATATACAGATGAGACGCTGGTCGATTTTCAAGAGTTCTGCTTATTCCAACTTAGCTCTCGTATAGTTCTGGGCATGCACAATGCCTTTCCAAAGAGTTCTGATAGTTACAACAATTAGAAATTTAAAAAAAAATTATTTTACCCGAAAAACGTGTTTTTTCAGGTATAAAGGTGAGACGCTGGTCGATTTTCAAGAGTTCTGTTTATTCCAACTGAGCTCTCGTATAGTTCTGGGCATGCACAATGTCTTTCCAAAGAGTTCTGATGGTTACAACAATTAGAAATTTAAAAATAAATTATTTTACCCGAAAAACGTGTTTTTTTAGGTATAAAGGTGAGACGCTGGTCGATTTTCAAGAGTTCTGTGTATTCCAACTTAGCTCTCGTATAGTTCTGGGCATGCACAATGCCTTTCCAAAGAGTTCTGATAGTTACAACAATTAGAACTTTTTTTAAAAAATTATTTTGTCCGAAAAACGTATTTTTTCAGGTATAAAGGTGAGACGCTGGTCGATTTTCAAGAGTTCTGTGTATTCCAACTTAGCTCTCGTATAGTTCTGGGCATGCACAATGCCTTTCCAAAGAGTTCTGATAGTTGCAACAATTAGAACTTTTTTTAAAAAATTATTTTGTCCGAAAAACGTATTTTTTCAGGTATAAAAGTGAGACGCTGGTCGATTTTCAAGAGTTCTGTTTTTCCAACTGAGCTCTCGTATAGTTCTGGGCATGCACAATGTCTTTCCAAAGAGTTCTGATGGTTACAACAATTAGAAATTTAAAAAAAAAATTATTTTACCCGAAAAACGTGTTTTTTCAGGTATAAAGGTAAGACGCTGGTCGATTTTCAAGAGTTCTGTTTATTCCAAATCAGTTCTCGTATAGTTTTGGGCATGCACAAAGCCTTACTAAAGAGTTCTGATAGTTTCAACAATTAAAAATTAAATAAAAAATTATTTTGTTCGAATAACGTATCTTTTCGAGTATAAAGGTGAGACGCTGGTCGTATTTCGATAGTTCTATCGATTTTAAATGACATTTCGCGTCAGGCTGTAATCACTTTTCATTTCAATGAAGAGTTCTATGCGTTATTAAAATGTTAATGACATAAATTAGATCTTTCGAGGCGCTGGACGTATAAATACCGAGCTATCAAGGTGAAACGTTGATTGTTTTTCTACAACGTCATGGATTAAAAAATTTTTATTTTACTGTGTAAGTATATTGTTTTAAATGTCCACGCCGTGATTCTGATTATGCTAAGAACTAGATAAGTACATTTAAAACAATACACTTTTACACAGTGAAATAAAAAATTCAAAATCCATGACGTTGTAGAATAATGATCAGTCTCATCTCGATAGCACAATATTTATACATCCAGCGTCTCGAGAGATCTAATTTGTTTAATCAACATTCTAATGACTTTTACGCATAGAACTCTTCGTAAAAATAAAAAGTGATTACAAACTGACACGAAATGTCACTTGAAATCGATAAATTATTGACATACGACCAGCGTCTCACCTTTATACTCAAAAAAATACGTTTTTCAACCAAAATAATTTTTTAAAAAAAGTTCTAATTGTTGTAACTATCAGAACTCTTTGGAAAAGCATTGTGCATGCCCAGAACTATACGAGAACTGATTTGGAATAAACAGAACTCTTGAAAATCGACCAGCGTCTCACCTTTATACCTGAAAAAATACGTTTTTCGGGTAAAATAATTTATTTTTTAAATTTCTAATTGTTGTAACCATCAGAACTCTTTGGAAAGGCATTGTGCATGCCCAGAACTATACGAGAGCTAAGTTGGAATAAACAGAACTCTTGAAAATCGACCAGCGTCTCACCTTTATACCTGAAAGAATACGTTTCTTGGGCAAAATAATTTTTTTTTTTAATTTCTAATTGTTGCAACTATCAGAACTCTTTGGAAAGGCATTGTGCATGCCCAGAACTATACGAGAGCTAAGTTGGAATAAGCAGAACTCTTGAAAATCGACCAGCGTCTCATCTGTATATCTATAGATATAAGGATTCGCTTGTTCTTATTTTATCTTTATTGATATTTTTTTGCTTTTAAAAGGCAGAACTCTTCTTAGAATTCTTGTAGAACTATAAATCTTTTAATTTCCAACAATTATTGATAAGGAAAATGTCGTAGGACAAAGTGAGACGCTGCGTGAAGTTGGCGTCTCAGTTTGTCCTGAGGCATTTTCGTTGGTTTAATAGCCAGAACTATTTGTTTAAACTATCAGGAACTCTAGAACTATTGAAAATAAAGTCAGAACTCTTAATTATTTGTGAGTTTCCGCGAAATGATACGCCAGCTTCACACACACCATGTATAAAACACATTAAACGCCACCAAATTTCTTATGCCATTTAACATAGCCCTTCTCCGTTAAAAATCAGATTTGCATACAAAATTAAGTGCTTGTAATATATTAATGCTAGTTTATTGCCGGGATTTATCGCTCCAACACATTCAGAAAATTAATATTAAGAATTGAAGTATTGATTTGACATTATGTTAGCATTCTTTTCCTTTCAAAAAATTTTATACTATTAAAATATTATTTATATTTTAATAAAATTAAAGATTCTTAAAGTTGCTTCAACAATTTGATACAAAATCTCCTCCAAATTTTTAACGATCCTTATTTCCAAAATTTTAACAGCAGATTTGAATTTAGCATCTCAAAGGAGCATTCCGAATATACTATTTTCATGTAACAAATATCTCTTTGTTTTATTTGTCTTCACTTTCGACCATCGTATAAGCAAGAATATTGATAACGCGATAGTAAAATGGAAAATGAAGTCTTAAACTGTGACACGTCTGCATTTTTTTGCATCAGGTATCTCGAGACCGCGTCAGTCGGTGGGCAGTCACAGCCTACCCGCGTCGTCCGATCTCATCTCTAGAGTTCTGACTTCCACTTCGGAAGTAGGAAGTCACGAGGGTCTGACTAGTTTGTCCGGGATTTGGTCAGAATTGGTATTGCAAGATATAGCTGTTACGGTGCATCCTGCGGGGCCCGAAAACCAATGCTGCTCGAACGAGCAACGGCATCCGGAGTGCTACGAGATGCACGACGAGAAGCTCGGCTGCAAGCGTTACTGGCGATCGGTGCCGAGTTTGCCGATGAACGGCTGTCAATTCGAGACGAGGGAGCAAATGAACGGCGCCTCGGCGTATCTAGACGGTTCCGGTATCTACGGTGCAACCGACGACAAACTGCATTTATTGAGAACGTACGATAACGGCAAGGTCGATCTAAGCGCTTGCGAGGTGTGCAATCGCACCGATCGCCACACGCTCGGCCTGCTACATCGGATTTTCCTGCGCGAGCATAATCGCATAGCGGACAAATTGGCCGAGTTGAATGCGCATTGGGATGACACAAAATTATTTCTAGAAGTGCGTCGTATCGTCGTCGCGCAGCTGCAACATGTCACTTTCAACGAATACCTGCCGGCGATACTGAGAGAAGCTGCTTTGGTGGATCCTGAGCTCAGGCCACGTGCGAACGGCTTCTACGAAGGCTACTCTTCATCCAATAAGGCAGGGACATATCATGCCGCAGCTCTGACAGCTTTGAGAGCTCTTGCGTGGACGCACGCGGATGAGATTCGCAGCATCGAGGATCACGTAATCACATCGGCTAATCGCGTTGATCTCGCAGCTGCCCCGGACGCAGCTGCCTGGTCCGTGCACGTAGCAAGAGATCACGGGATACCCGGATACGTCAAGTTTCTGGATAATTGTTTAGGAGAAAGCGTTAAGGTAAGGTTTAGTGTTAAAGATCAATTTTGTGCGATATTACACTGTTATGGATAAACGCATTATTTAAGAGAAAAGAAAGTAGCTCTTTCCATTGTGTTTTACGCACTAAATTTAAGCATTATTTTTTTATATTTTTCCAAATTAATCTCAAATTCAAATATTTTTAAATAAATAATTATTTTATTTCATCATAATTGATCGTTTGCATCCGCTGTAATGCAGATCGAAAACTTCACGAATCTGGTGCAAGTGATGCGATCTGAGCATGCAGAGCTACTCAGCTCGATTTACATGAACTTGGAAGATGTGGATCTTTTCGTGGGCGGAATCCTGGAGACTCCCGCCACGGGCGCCGCGGTTGGTCCGACATTTGAGTGTCTTTTAAAAAAGCAGTTCGCGACAGTGAGAAATTCCGATCGTTTCTGGTACGAAAACGACCTTCCACCGTCGGGACTGACGGCGGCGCAACTGGCTGAGATACGAAAAGTGTCCCTCGCCGGTATTTTGTGCTCCAACACGGACATCCGCAGAATTCAGCCGAGAGTGTTCATTCGGCAGGATCCGTATCTCAACAGCAACATTAATTGCGAGCAATACGAACCGCTGAACGTTGCGGCGTGGATTGAGAAACCGTTGTCGCTTCCGTCCGCGATCGAACACGACGACTTTGCGAACACGGACGTGCGCGATCCGACGCGATTCTTACCGGAGATCAACCCGGAAGTGCTTGCCGCCGCGGTGAAGAAAGCGGAGGAGGAGCTGATCGAGCGAAAGCAGCTCGAATACAACGCTTGGATGGAGCAAAGAATCGCTGATCCGAGATCGCCCGCCGGCACCGCGGCCAGCTTCTCCAAGGCTAACAAGGACGCCCTGTTGCTCGCCAATTCGTCCATCATGTACGAGCTGGCGACGAACGAGATTCTGAACGGCGTGCACGGTCTCCGGCGTAGGAAGCGACAGATCTTCGAGAACACGGAGAACGTCCTCGGCTTTCCCAACTCGAACGAGTTCTCCGATTTGCTGCAGAATGTCGACATCTCCGGCTTCCTGAATTCGCATCACAAAGCGACGAATCACGAGGAGGTGCAGTGCCCGGTCGACAACTCCGCGTGCGACCCCACTACGCCTTTCCGGACTCTGTCGGGTCACTGCAACAATCTGCGCAATCCCAGTCTCGGCAAGTCGCTGACGACCTTCGCCCGCCTGCTGCCACCCGCTTACGAAGACGGTGTCTCCAAGCCAAGATCCACTTCCGTCACCGGCACGCAGCTGCCGAATCCACGCGTCATCTCCACCGTCATCCATCCCGACATTTCTAATCTGCACAACCGCTACACGCTGATGGTGATGCAGTTTGCGCAGTTCTTGGACCACGATCTAACGATGACGCCGATACACAAGGGATTTCAGGAGTCGATTCCCAGTTGCCGTTCGTGCGACTCGCCGCGAACCGTGCATCCCGAGTGCAATCCGTTTCCCGTGCCGCCGGGCGATCACTTCTATCCCACTGCGAATGTATCGTCGGGCGCTCCCATGTGCTTCCCGTCGATGAGATCGCTGCCGGGCCAGCAGCACTTGGGGCCGCGCGAACAGGTGAATCAGAATACCGGCTTCCTCGACGCGTCGGTCGTTTACGGTGAAAACTCGTGCATCTGCAACATCCTGCGCGGCTACAACGGCCGCATGAACATCACCTCGAGTCCGAGTCGCGGTAGGGATCTGCTGCCGCAATCGCCAACTCATCCGGAATGCAAGTCTCGATCGGGATATTGTTTCATCGGCGGCGACGGCCGCGCCTCGGAGCAACCGGCGTTGACGGTCATGCATACAATGTGGATACGCGAGCACAATCGCGTAATGGAAGGCCTGCGACAGGTGAATCTATTCTTTCTCTTTCCTTATGAATATTTATCTTTAGCGCTCAGAAATTTCAGATGCTTGAACAATTTATCTTGAGATCAAACGCCAAATTGTTGGGACCTTTCGAGCCGCAAGTATACAGTCGAGCAATTTCAATTGTTCGAGCTAACTTCCAATCAGGACAGTATATATGTGCGAATTATAAATTTAAACTTAAATTCAAGCAAATTAGTAAAATTAAATTAAACATTGAAAGGCGAAAGAAACAAAAAGGACGATGATTTCTAACTCCATTAAATATTTGCTCAAATTTTTTCCACGTATAAACTATTCGATGAGTCGAATCGTAAAGTGTTTTCAAATCGATCAAACAGATCGGCTATTATGTCCGAACTGTTTGAACGTTAAAATCTGTTGTCAGAATCCTGATTACATCATAACGTCAGAAGTAAGAAATCACGTAAATTTTTTTCTTGCGGTATACGTCGAAATAAATTTTTTATTTCCCACATTTACGTTGTATACATATATATATATTAATTGTTAAAATATATTGAAAACTTCTTTTTTTTTATTATCCTGCATTATGGAATGCATATCTAATTCTATCTAAATATATCTTACATTTTCAGCAAAACTGGAGCTTATGACAGTTGATCAAAATTACAGCTATTTATTAGTCTGTGACCCGAAAAGAGTCTTCAGTATATTCTACCGAATTTATATTATCGAATGTGAGTAGTGGTATGCTCAGACTAATTTATTTTGACGCATAGTGCAAGAAAAAGATTGACACCGTTTCTTGCTTCATAATTCAATATAGCTGTAATGAAGGATCCGAGAGCTTTAATCTTATTCTTTATTTATATTCGCATTTCAATAACCAATTTCAAATTATGAACAAACTAAAATAAAATTTAAAATTGCATCACAAAATAATTTTAAATAACGTGACAAAGTAATGAAAGTACTTTTTTAGTTACTTTTTAATTAAATATAAGCAAAACACACAGTCAGATTTTATTTCAATTCAAATTTTTCTTTATTTTTCCGTCCATTTTCTTTTGTTTCGAGACTTTCCGCTCGTGCTATTTTCACACAGCCTTACATTTACATTAGAAACGACTTTCTCTTTCTATCATATATTTTGATAGATGACTTCCCCTTTTTTGCATGGTTACGTCATACAGTCATTTGTGAAATATGAAATAATGGAAAAATGGCAGTCAAAGAGAAAAGAATGAGAAAATCGAAAGAAAAATTAGAAATTCGATTGTAAATATTGAAAAGGAGAAAAAAATTGATTTAAAAAATATCAGTAAGTCTTTTTAACGCCATTTAAAAGACTTCACTCAACGAAATAATATATTCGTTCGATTTCTGTGCCAATCATTATGTCTGCAGACTCTGTCGGCAGATTATTAGTTTAAATGTGAACAACATAAATTATTTAAAAGAAAAGTCTTTTATTTTTGACAAATTTGTAAGATTTTGGACTAAATCGAATTTTTTAATGAAATTTTTCGAATTTAATATGACAGACTTATAATATAGCAGGCGTAAATTTAAAAAAATATTTTTATTCTCATCAAACTTTTTTTTCTTAGAATTTTTATGATCTTTGAATTCGAATCTTACATCAAAATTTTAAAAATCAAGAGAATTATTTTTATAAAACATAAATGTTTTTTGTGTTCTGAAATTTTAATTTACATATTAAGTTAATAAAATAATCAACAGCTCTTTTTTATTTTAATCAAATTTTACCTTAGATTTCTTTTTTTTTTTTCAAACCACAAAATTTATATTTTAATTTTTCAATTAAAATCTCGCAGAGAAGTTCCTGAAAATGTTTCACATAAAATCTATTGCTCGAATTCTAATTATCACATTGCATTCAAAATTACAAAATTTTGATTACACAATTTTCTGCGGATTCAGCGTTCTAAGAAATCTCAAATACAATGTTTGATGAAAATTATTTCTGCTAACGAAACATTTTTATTCATTTAATAATTAAATGGTATACTGACTGATATAACAGTGAATACTTATATTATAAAACCTGCCGTCAAAGTGTTATCATGTTAGTAGTACTTTATTTGCAGAATAATATATATATATATACATATATATATCTTTCCTTTTCTAATATTATATTTTTTGAACAGGTAAACTCCCATTGGGACGGAGAAAAGCTGTTCCAGGAAACTCGACGCATCATTAGTAGCATGTTGCAGCACATTACGTATAACGAGTTTCTGCCGAGGATCCTCGGCTGGAACGCCGTCAGCCTGTACGGTCTGAAATTACTGCCGCAAGGTTACTACAAGGAATATTCGCCCACCTGCAATCCCAGCGTGCTCAATGAATTTGCCACGGCGGCATTCCGAATTGGTCATTCACTATTGCGACCGCATCTGCCGCGTATGGATCGCAGCTATCAAAACATTGATCCGCCTATTCTGTTGCGTGACGGATTTTTCAATACGGACATGCTCTTTCAGGAGAATATGATTGATGAGATGATACGCGGCTTGGTGACCACGCCGATGGAGACGCTAGATCAATTTATCACCGGCGAGGTGACCAATCATCTATTCGAGCAGCGCGGTATTCCGCATTCCGGCGTTGATCTAATAGCTCTGAACATTCACCGAGGACGCGATCACGGATTACCGTCGTACAATCATTATCGGGCGCTTTGTAATCTGAAGAAAGCTAGCACGTTTGAGGATCTGTCCAGGGAAATGGCACCCGAGGTGATAGCTCGCATGAAGCGCATATATGCCTCCGTGGACGACATCGATCTGTTCCCAGGTGGTATGAGCGAGAGACCGCTTCAGGGCGGTCTGGTCGGACCCACCTTCGCCTGCATCATCGCCATTCAGTTCAGACAGTCGAGGAAGTGCGATCGTTTTTGGTACGAGACCGACGATCCGAATATTCGCTTCACCGAGCATCAGTTAGCGGAGATCCGCAAGACCACCCTGACCAAGGTGATGTGCGAGAATATGGACCACCAGACGGACATGCAGAGAGCGGCGTTCGATTTGCCCAGCAATTTTCTAAACCCGCGGGTACCTTGCAGTTCTATGCCCCACATGGATTTTTCCTCCTTCCGAGAGACTAGACACGGCTGCCAGATCGGCGGAAGAAACGTCGCCGTTGGCGAATCCGGTTTTCCCACGCCTTGCACCAGCTGCGTTTGTACCGCTGAAGGCGTAAGTACATTTTTCGAATAAAAAAGTTTCACGCGTTCGGTTAAAACTCTTTCTAAAAGCTCTGCTAAAACATTTTGAAAACGTCCCGACGATTCTTAACTATAAGAATTAATATAGAAATTTGAGAATTTTTATTTTTTAAATTTATGGCGACCTCCACACAATCTTCTCAAGTTGTCACTCCAATTCTTAGGAAAATAATGCAGATTCTAAATATCTTAAAAAGTAAGTTTCTCATTTTTTTTCAGACTCAATGTGCTTCCTTGAGAGTCACGGACTGTAATCAGCTTCTACGAGAAGCTTCTCGAGAAGCGATCCTACGGGATGATGTGTGCACTGCCCAATGTGGGTTTGTCCTAGCGGCTAGTGAGTCGATGGCGAGACTGCAATTTACCACGCCAAACAACCCGGGTTTTCCGGGTTTCCCACCACATACGAACAATCTGAGAAATGCACCAACCCCGACCTCGTTCAACGGCTTCAAATTACCCGATCTCTCGCAGTTCATTGGCTGAATCGGAAGAGACGACTTAAAACTCACAGCTTGTTGTTTACTGATTATTGCATTGTACGCGAAAAATACACTGCCTTTACTTCGAAAGACTATATACGATTCCAAAATTTGACGATCAGTCGGTCATGTTCGAGTTCAATATTATAAACTAAAATAGAGAGGGAGAGAGAGAGAGAGAGAGAGAGAGAGAGAGAGAGAGAGAGAGAGAGAGAGAGAGAGAGAGAGAGAGAG